TAGAGGGTGGAGTGCAATCCTCTGAAGAGTCTCCTCTGGCATCACTGATACTGTCAACCTATATTTCACGTAGACTGAATGGGATCATGGATTCTGACAGATATAAAATTCCATGGGTGCAAGACATCAGTGAACATGTTCAATAAAGCTCGTATGATGAAATGACATGTTCATTCAAAAACACCTGACCACAGCTTACCCATCTCCTTTGAGAAAACTGTAATGGTTGTGTTCCTCTCCATCAATAATCAATATAATGACAATCCATATAGAAAAGGATGAGTTACTTGCATCAATCAGAACGTGTTTTATATACAGTTTACTCACTTTTGAGAAGTAAAATCTCTCCTCTTATGAAAAGGCTGAAATTGTAGACTTGTAACAATTATATAAGAAAACTTTCTCAAACTTTCAGCTGTAAGATGAATAAGGTCTGAGGCTCTAATGTATAACACAGTGATTACAGTTGATAACACTGCAATGTATAATTGAAATTTGCTAAGAGAGTAGAACTTAAATGTTCTTACCAAAAAAAAAATTAAAAAGATAAATATGTGAGGTGATGGATGGGAGGAATTAACTAGAATAGATGGGAGGAATCTTTTCACAATGTATATACATTTTAAATCCTCATGATGCACACTTTAAATACCTTACAATTTTATTTGTCAAGTATATCTCAGTAAAACTGAAGAAAAAGTCAAATGATTTGTAAGCATCCTTCCCCCCTATTTTTTTTCTTCTTCAGCAGCAAGCAATAACAACAAAAAACAACTAAAAGTGGTTGAATAATGAAGGGGCTAATTTTTACGTAATAAAATGTCTCATGTAAGGCTGTGGAGAGCTGGTACATGAACTCCCTGATTCCATCAAGAACCCAGGGGGCAGGGGCTTCCCTGGTGGTGCAGTGGTTGAGAGTTCGCCTGCTGATGCAGGGGACACGGGTTCGTGCCCCGGTCCGGGAAGATCCCACATGCCGCGGAGCGGCTGGACCCGTGAGCCATGGCCGCTGAGCCCGCGTGTCCGGAGCCTGTGCTCTGCAACGGGAGAGGCCACAGCGGTGAGAGGCCCGCGTACCGGAAAAAAACAAAAAAAAAAAGAACCCGGGGGCGGTCCTCCTCTCCTGCCCCACCATTCTTGGCAGGTGGCTTTTCCCCACATGGTCATGAGATGGCTGCTGTACCACCTCATTATTCATCTGCCTCCGGAACCAAGGAAGCTTAGTTTATTCCTTTAAAAATGCTGTTTCCAAGTTTCATCCAACGACTTACATCTTACTGGCTAGAATTGGGTCATACAGTCAGCTCTAGTGGAAAGATCGTTGGAAAAGTGAATATTCTAGCTTTCAAGCCACTGTGTAGAAAAAAGCAAGAACGAAAGATTATGAATGGCTTTTAAGCCGCCTTGTCTGCCTCTGTGGGCAAGGAGATGAGGAAGGAAGTTTATTAAAAAAATATTACTAGGCCATCCAAATATTCTAAATCACAGAAAGAGAACATTTCCTTAGCAAATATTGACTTTTATAAGTGTTACTGTTTGGCAGTACAAGGCAGATTTTATTGATTTAGCGAGTCAATGTAACAGTCATTACTTACTACTGAGATGGTTTCTCAATATGCTAAGGTCCTATTATGATTTGACCTTCAGCTGAGTTCGATTCTTCAAATGCTTTTATTTAAACCCTGGACACTTCTAGACACTCAGACTTCAGGACAGCACAGATCTCAGCCCCATTATTCCCATTCTAAGCTGTCTCAGGAAAAATAAAAAGGTTTGTCTAATTCTCTTAAGTATCAGCTAGATAGGGAAGCAAGATGCTAAATGGGCTCATTTATAAAGTGATTCTACATATTATTAGAGTCACCTAAGAACCTCTTAAGAAATTCTGATAAACTGATTTTTTAAGACCTCTCTAGATAATTCTAATGTGCAGCTAATGCTGGGTACTGCTGCATTAGAACAAAGAAGGGAAAAAACCAGAAATAGCATGGAAAACCATGAACAAGTTATTGAACCTCTATAGGCTCAGTTTTCTCATCTGTTGATTAAATTAGTTAATTCACATAAACATGTAGTTTGATGCATGGCATAGAGCAAACACTTAGATATTACTGTCTCGTTGATGTTAATATATTTTTGAAAAAAAATCATTTTATTTGTGATCAGATGGAGTTTTTCCAAGGTAGGCAATAATATATAAGAGCATAGATCTTGAAGACAGCAAAATTTGGTACTTAAATCCCAGTTCGGCCACTTACTAGTTAATTTGACATTAAGCAGGTAAGCCATTTGATCTGAGTCTCAGTTTTCTCATCTATTAAATGTGAATAATACCCATCTCTCAGGTTGTGCCTATTAGAAGATACTATGTATGCTAAAGCATAATTTTCAAAAGAGTAAAATCATGACTCATATAAATATAAAATGGACATGTATCAAAGATTTTATTCAACTCTTCATTTACTCAGGGAACCAATAAGATGGTAAGACCTGTCCAAATGAGAATCTGACTTAACAAAGCTTTATAATTTACCAGTCAAACTGCATTTGCCTTGTTATGAACAGGAATTATTTGCACTGCTATTTGTTTTTCACAATTTAACAGCTACCCCTATGGAACTGTAAAATAATCTAGTCAATTGAAGGTACATATTACTGGAATCAGATAATGCCCTGAGGGTCGCCTGGCCAATGCCTAGCACTCCACTGAAAGACACCAGTAATTCTCTTTGCCCACTTCCAAGTCCTGACATGTAGGCAAAGTGCCCGGCAGGGTGTACCTGCCATGCAGTAAGTACTGATTAAATGGTGGCTCCAGTTCTTGTTATTCTTGAGTCATATGATTATTTACGTAGAAAACCCAAGCAAGTCAACTAAATGTATTAAGACAGATTTATCATTGCTATGACACTATGCATTTGTGCTTTACATTCCTCCCTCTACTGTAAACATAGCAATGATAGATTTTTTTATGTAAAGAAAAATCATAGTCACATTCAAAAGCAGGATAAGAGAGAACCTGCAGCAATATGCAGGAGCCGAAGCCTCAGGCAGCCCAGCGTTGGACTTGCGTCGGGTGACAGAGCGTGGTCCCCTTCCTAAAGCTGGAGGCAAGGACGGTCTTATCCTTTTCCAGCTCAATGACTAGATCTCTGATTATCTCCAGTCACGGAGCGAGGGACAGGAGCTGAAGCTACAACTAAGACCATATCCTGGGCTACAGATGGTGGGGGAAGAAAGGGTGCAGGCAACCAAAAAACTGATAAACATGGAAGCTTGGAGAGGAGGAGGATGAAACACCCACATAAGATAAACCTTCAACTAAAATTTCAAAGAAAATGGGGAAAATTAACACTAGGAAACACAGCAAATAAACTTAACAACCAGAACATTAATAATTAACAAAGAATATGATACAGCCATTAATTGTGGAAGACTATTTAACAACGTGAAAATATTCACGTGTGAAAAACGTGTTAAGGGAAGATATATGTTTTAAAGACTGGTCTGCTTGTTGGCCATTCGCTTGTGGTTGCATTTCCACATTTCTATGCTTCCCACCCCCCTCCGGAAAAACCCTGCCACTGCAGGAAGCCAGAAGTCTGTATATGCCAGTCTTTTCCATATTCCCTGGCAGAGTGGAAATGTGGAGGATTTCCCTTCTTCTGGAGGCAGCTCCCACACACAGCAGCAGCAGGTAAGCCTGAGCTCCTGACAAGCAAAAGGGTTTGAACAGGAGGGTTCCTAGAATCCTGTAACATCGGCAGGATGTTTTGTTTCATTTCATTTTTAATTTTAACTACATTCCATTTCCATCCAGGTCAAGGGACAATTGAGAAAAAGGTTCTATCCTCAATACACAACCAAGGAAGCGTAGAAGGGCTCTCGATGCCATTGTTTTGAAGTTAGCCTATCAGTAATCATGATTGAAACGTAACCCCGATGGCTTGCACAAGCGGAATAAAATGCCCCGCATTGTAGGATGTTATAAAGGCTGTGTAGCTTCATTTCCAGTGCTGCACAACCCCCTGCTCCCTGTACATCAGCTGCAGTGGGGTTCCAGCAGCCTCAAGGCATGTGATTGTGGCTGGGGTCTGGGCAGCAGCATCTTCCTTCCTGCTTCTCCCGTCTTAGGCATGGCAGTGGCTGCCAGCAGTTACTATTCTTTAGGTAAACTTAACAGCTTCCTTTTTTTGCTCCTCCAATCTTTCCAACCACTCTTCTGCACTGTATTCCCTCTACTGGTCCTCACTGCCTGAGCGGACAATGACTGACAGTTGGCTTCACCAGCAGAATACAGATGGCATTCAGCAGTGTCATAAGTGCTGAAAAATTGGAGGAGCAATGATACTTGAGGAACTGTGAATGCCAGCAGGAACTGACCTTTTTTTCTTTTTTTTTTTTGGCCACACCTCACAGCATGTGGGAACGTCCCTGACCAGGGATCAAACCCGCACCCCCTGCAGTGGAAGCATGGTGTCTTAACTGCAGGACCACCAGGGAACTATTATGCTAAAGAAGTAAGCAACTTACACAGTACAACTGTTTTAGCATATCTACAGAGAGGAGGCCGGTTTTATCTGGTTAGCAGGATTACAGGTGATTTTTATGTGGCGAGAAGATCACAAATGCTGGAACCAGCCTATCTATAGACTCAAATCCCAGCCCTGCCACTTCCTAGGTGTGTAGCCTTGGGCAGGATTTTTAACCTCTCTGCCTGGTTTCTCCAAATGCAAAGTGGTTGTGGTTGATATAATATCTCAAAAAGTTATTTGAAGAAAAAAAGTGGGTTAATGAAGTTGAAGAACATAGAAGAGAGACTGACATATAGTATTATATAAGTGAATTTTAGAAATTATTTTTTAAAATTTTATTTTCCAATTTTAAAAAAGGATATATAATTGACCAGAAAACATGTCATATGTAAAAAGAAAAATGTGACATTCATAGAAAGTAAATATAAATGATCTTAAAGTTATTGTTAAATTTGTAATTTTTACCGTGTCACAGAGCTGTAGCAGCGACTCTGGCAGACTGTGGGAGGGGACTGCACAAGGGTGTGAAGGAGGCGGGGATCATTGTGGGCCATCTTGGAGACTGGCCACCGCAAATCTGGAATATGAAGACCACTGTCATGCTTATTGCCAAATTAAATTTTTCCTTGAGTCAGTTAGTAATGCATGCAGCTAGGAGTAATAGGAGTCCCAGCCAATGGTGATTTAAACAAGGAAGGGGTTTCTTTATTTCACATCACAAGAAGTCCCACAGTAGGCAGTCTGTAGCTAGTATGGTGGTCCAGGATACCTTCAAGGACCCAGGCTCCTGGCTTTTAGCTTTATCACCCTTAGTGATGACAGCAGCACTTCCAGAGCCCTTTGGCAGAAAGAGACCATGTGGCACCAGCAGCCTTCCTTTCCTTTACACGTCATTGGCCATAATCCCATCAAGCAACTTCTAGCTGTAAGGCAAGCTGGGTCATTGAGTTTTTAGATATTCTAGCCTCTATAGTAGATGAAGGCAAGAAAAGGCAGGAAAACTGTACTGATGGAGGTCACAAGTTTCTAGCATGTTTCCTAAGTTCAGATTTTGAATGCTGCATTTTCTTCAGATCACGAGGTAAAAAATTATAGGAGCTACATTATGACATAAAAGAAGCACAGGGCCTTACATGTAACAGGTTCTTATTAATCATTTCTTGAGTGGATATGTTAGATAAGCATTAACCCTATACAAGCTTTTCCTGAAATGACTTTGTATTCTATTTGCATTCATTGGGAAAAATAGGTTTTCCATCACTAGGAAGTAAAAAAACACACTAATTCTATGTAGTCTACTTTTCTCTTAATTTTAGGACTTTATTTCAGGCTTTGATCTGTGCATGAAATGCTAAGCCCAGCTACACTTCAGCTCTATGCTTCCCCTGCCACCCCCAGGCTTCCAAATCTTTTCTGCTACCCTACAGCCCTGTCCTCAGACATAAGTTCTTTTTCTATAATTGTTCTTTTTGGTTCAGAATTTTCTTTCTTAAATAACATAAAAATAAAAGTGATAGGGCAAGATGATTAAATATATTCCCTTCAGAAAAACAAAATGTATTTTTGTTTTGTTTAGGCCAAAGAAACTAACTTTGTAAATAGACAACCTGAAAAACAAACTGCATTCTGAAAAGACCATGAAAGGCCAACATAGCATTTTTGTACTTCAAAAAAATGTCTTCTACTTTCATACCAAAATTGACTTTAAAATTGAAGCTGTTAAAAATACACACTTAATTTAGTAGCTTTTAATTCACAGAGCTTTTTCATGGGTGGGGTGCAAAGTGGTGAGCTTAATTTTGCCACAGAGGAATATACTGCCTGTGTACAAGTCAGGCTGTTTACTAAGAATAGACTGTGGGCAGCTGGATAATTAAAAAGTGCTTCACATAATTGAAGTTCTGGTGAGGAAGTGATTAAAGTCATGGCCTTGCCTGCTGGGTGTATACAAACTACTTTAAAACCTGGATACTGGAATGTATGGCCTTAAAAGGATTGCATTAAGATGAAAAACATGTAAAAGGCCACTGATAAACCATACTTTCATTTTTAAATAGAACTTGAATCACTAGAATTTTACACTGATTTTACATGAATAGTGAAACTTGCTACACCTATTAGAAATATAGAAAAACATCTTTTTAAAAAGGGTAGCTTATGCTTTTACTCAATACAAAGGAAAATAAATTGCAGACAAATTTTTACTTAGCCATTTCAGCATTAACAAACATTTTAAATATTATTCAGTAATCTCTAGCTTTGTGAGTTACTAAAATTTAAAAGTATTGAAAATTAATTTTTGTTAGTTGTAAAAGAACCAGCTACTGTTTCTTTCTTAGACTAAATTACTTAAAGAATTAGGCTATCTTTTAAAGGTTAAACAGTATGATTAGGCAACTATTATCAGTGGCTACTTTGGGGAGTGGAATCTGGGATGAGAAGCAGCTGAAGTAATACTTGTCACATCATATTCTTCAGTACCCTCTGAATTTGTTTTTAAACAAACATATATTATCTTCATAATTAAATTATTAATGATAAAATTAAGTTAAAAACTGTGTGAGACCAACAATCACTGAAGAAACTGAAAAAGAAGTCATGAAAAAGAATTACCTTGACTGAAACTTGAAAAGGAGCTTCATATATAAGAACAAGTTTCAAAACAGTAAGGCCCAACCTAGATCTAGAATTATCTTAAGAACAAACAGAAAAACTGAAATGATTATATGTTATTTTATGTTAGTTTTTTTTTTTTAAATCTATCCTAAAAATCAAGAAGCCCCAAATTCCTTCTTACTAAATGTCAGTTTACCTGTTAACAAAAGGAAAGAGCATTTTCCTCATCTTCTTCATAGTAATTTTGAAGTCTCATTAGCATGCTTTTATTACGAGACTCAGGGTTTCCAGGCTAGGTGTGGACCCCTATGAAGTCAGTTAAAGATAAAAAAATAAATTTAAATGATTATTTTACAACATTAAGTTTTATTTTTAAAGTAATTTTATATTGCACTATTATAAAACCAATAAATGATGGAGTTTACAGTCCCAGACTAAATTATCAAGGACTGAGAAGGGGAGAGGATGGGAAAAGTAGCAGATTCCTTGTTTCCATGAAAAGTCACTGAAACAAAATAAAACCAATGGAATAGGCACAATTTATCAGACAAATATGAAGAAAAAAGTATGCAGAGGTACATATTTATACCATCTAATTATAATTCAAGGCAAAAAAAGCATAAAACAAGACAATGAAGCCTATTTAAATAGTATAATTTGTAATAAAGACATAAGTCATCAACCTTGTGGCTACCCTGAAAGGATTAGAAAGTGAACGGCCTTAGCCATCATTTAACAGGCATAGATAATATCCAAATAACAACATTAAATTACACAGAATAAAAATATTTCATGCAGAAGGAAAAATGGGCAGAAGTAGACATGCAGTAGAAGACTTTAATATACATCAGCATTACTCTATGACAGATAAAATGGACAAAATAAGGAAGATTTAGAAAATTAATAATGAAGTAAAAAAGATACTTAATGAATTCCCAACAGCAGAAATTACAAAGACCATATTTTTACTATAATATAAAAATGAAAGCAAGGAAATCTTTAAGAACACATATATGAAATAAGAAAAATACAAACAAGCCAAAAAATGAAAACCAGGCACACACACACACACACACCCACCTACACACCTCACTCACTAGTACAGGAAATGGCCAGATATAAATTGAAAGCATTAGAGTCTTTCATTACTTAAACAGAATAAAAATAAATTACTGCAATGGGTTAAAATAGACATATACATACATATATAATCTGTCTGTAAGAATATACTGAAGAACCCAAAACCTTATTTGTCACTTTTGGAGGCTGCTAGGCACTCACTCATTATTCTAAAAACTGAATCAAGCATTTCAGCTTTCTGTGTCAGGATAATTAAAGAGTTGACGAGGTAAAGTATTTTTTTTTTTTAATAGAAAAGGTGTAACGAATAAATGCAGAATAATAATAGAATTAGAAAATCACCATATTAAGATTTTCTAATAAAATAACAGACTTGTCAGTGATCATCAATGGCTGCTTAAAAGCATTTGATAAAAAGTTGATGTAATTATTTTTTAATGAATGAATCAGTCTGACATCATCTGAATCCACTGATCCATTTTAATGTTAATAATAATAGGACAACCAGATATTACATTGCTCCTAACGTGATGCAATTGAAAGCATACAGCACCACCAATGAAGTGTTCTTGCCAAAAACACTGAAAGCTGAATTCAATCAAGATTTTGGACCTAACTACTGGTTTACAGGAAAGACAGGAGATGGAGAAACATGTTAAATAATGTCATGAGGATATAATCAGCCAAGTACAAACTGTAAGAAATTCTCTAGGGCAAATGACCCAATGTATTCCATAAATAAATGCAAATGTTCCATAAATAAATGAAAAATAAAGGAAGGGAAACTGTTATAGACTTAGGAGACATGCCCACCAAATGCAATGTGTGGATTTTGTCTGTATCCTGATATAAATAAATCATTTGTAAAAAGACATTTTAAACACAAATGATACTTAACAAAAGTACAGTGTTAAATAGTAATACTGCTAATTACAATCTTATACTGCCTATTTAGAAAAGGCAAGAGTATCAGCTGGAAAACTAACAGAATTAATTAGTAACGTGACTAAAAACAATATAAAAATTATTACTAATAGTATTCGTATACACTATTCGTCAGTAGTTAGAAGCTAACAATTCTTAATAGCTACACAAAAACTCCAAATACTTAGAAATAATTTTACAGAGAAATATGTGTAAGCAGTTTGAAGAAAACTATAAAACTTATACTGATAGATAAAAATACTTAAATTAATTGGGAACTAGGGTTAAGAAACTCCATTTTATACTCTCTCCCATTGCCTTAATAATCATTAAACATTAAATGTGCTCCATCTTACCATACACCTCATTCTTTACTCTTATCAATCCATTAATCAATAACATATGATAGGTAACTTATTCGTTTCTTTTAGTAAAAATGTCTCCCTTTACTTGGGAACCCAAAATCATTAACTGAAGTAAATGGTTACAGAATTGCCTCATTATTAGCAGTTGGATAGAGAATCATAACTGGATCCTTTTGCCTTTAACGATTTGGGGTTTGCTAATCTATTTCTGAACTATTTATTAGGAAGTTATTGCAGCCTCATAAAGCTTTATCATGGGGGCCAAAGTCTTCATTATTTCCTATGGCCTAGATTCATTAAACATAGCTCTGCTTGGCTAATGCTCACAACTAACATACACATAGCAGCCCATCATTTATAATGCTCCCACCATCAGCACCAACCCCATGACTGTAAATCAGCTTAGGGAATCTTGTTGTCCTAGCCATTCCAGTTGCCCCCAACTGACCATTTACGGTGAATTACTGTCTCATTATAATCTACTTATAGCAGGAATTAATGCCATAATCATAGGCTATTGCTCTCTTTACATATTTATCAAGCCATAAAAGGACATTGCATTGAATCAATTAAACTCTAATGTGTGAATACATTCTAATAATCTTGCACATCATCAGCTATCACAGTAAACTCTCAATTTATTATTGGTTCAATTATTTATAAATTAAATAAAACACTTGTGACTAGACATAAGCTTACATTTTTAATAAAGCAAGAGGTTTTCTCAGAACTGTAGAGAGAACCTGCATTTATCAACTGTAAAATACTAAAAAAGTTATCCACAGACTTAGAATTTAAAAAGTTAATAAAATTACAAATAAAACTCAACCATACATATGATTTTGCTTCAATCATTTTCCCATTGCAAATGATAACTTTACCCCCACTATTTCAAAGCCAAACCACACTGCACACCATACAATGTAAACTATGTGTTTCTCTGGAAGAGAAAAAAATATGGGAACTTCCCTGGTGGCACAGTGGATAAGACTTCACACTCCCAATGCAGCGGGCCTGGGGTTCGACCCCTGGTCTGGGAACTAGATCCCACATGCATGCCACAACTAAGAGTTCGCATGCCACAACTAAGGAACCCACAAGCACAACTAGGGAGCCCGCCTGCCACAACTAAGGAGCTAGCAAGCAGCCCACGTGCTGCAACTAAGGAGCTAGCAAGCTGCAACTAAGACCCAGCGCAACCAAATAAATAAATAAATATTAAAAAATATATGTAACATGCAGAGAGAGAACAGAGGAGAAACTGAGGTGGTAAACAGGCTAACAATACACCAATTTCTGCTTCCATATAACAGGTTATATAAGTAGTCTGGATGAGCCATGGATTAGAGAGCCTGATTGAGGAAGGGCATAGGGATTCTGGCCCACACATCTACCATCTCAGATCCAAAGGCATCTGGAGTTAGTACCAGTTCTCCCCCAAGGGGCATAAGAAGAAATTCACAGTGTCTTTCACAAGAGAAAGGCTAGAACATAAAAGCAAATACCAGCTCAGCATGAATCTCTTAAGGCAAAGGGTCCCAATCAGTGCCACAAGTGGGTTACAGATATGGAGATACTGATCTTCTCAACCCGTAAAGTGATCTGGTCAAGACCTATGTGGGCTAGAGCTCTGGGCCAGAAACTTCTGGCTATAACTACCCTCCTCTATTTACTATAATTTCACATAAAGAATATTATTTTCCATATGTGTTATGGTTTTCAAAAGGTTAGCAAGCATCGTTGTAAGGGAAAGAAATAGGTCTTAATCATCTTTGTACGTTCAATAAGTCATATTTTCTGAGGGGGCAGTTGCCAGTGCTGGACATGGCTAGACACTGAGAATTCAGGCTTGGCCCCTGGCAGAAGACTGCTTCTGGGGGTCAGAGAAGCCAGCAGAGATTTGGGTGGGTTGGTGAGAAATGGAGGAAAACACTGGAGACTTAAGGGTCTCAAACATACAGCATGTTTGCTCATAAAGCCATTTCCTGAACTCTGAAGCCTAGGTGGGGCAAACTGGCTAAAATCTTAATCTGAAAATCTGTGAAGAACAGAATTACCTGCACTCAATCAATGCTGAAGAGAAAAAGACCCATCAGATTCTTAGTTCAAAGTCCAAAAGAGACAAGTCATAGAAAAAGGGATGACCAGAGGTAGACTTAGACTGAGTCTTACCAAAACAATAGCCCAGCCTTGAATCAGCTGATTGGATTAAGGCAATTGGCCTGTCCTCACTCAGTCTACTTAACAGAAAAAGGGTAGACCTTCTTTGGTGAAATATAAAGCATCTTTAGCTTCTACAGCTTTTTTAATAGAAGAAAATTTAGAATAAATGATATTTGACTGATCTAGAAGAGGAATCAAAGGAGAGAAAAAGGAACATAAAACAGGTGGGTCAAATAGAGAAAAAAGATCAATATAAATCCAACTATATTGGAAATTACATTAAATGCAAATACGCTAAGATATTCAGATAGGGATTATCAAACTGAAAAAGCAACAAGCAAACAAACAAAATATATTTTGTGACTTACAAAATAAAATATAAAGCCATAGAGGGGTTGAAAATAAAAGCATGGAAAAAGATACACTATGTAACCACTAAATGAATGAAAGCTGGTAGGACTACACTAATATCAGACAACACAGGCATTAGGGCAAGAAGCATTATTAGAGATCAATAAAGACATTTAATAATGATAAGAGGAGTTAACCACAGGAAAACATCACAATTCTAAATTTGTATGCATACAGTAACAAAGGTCAAAACAGAAACACTGAAAACTGACAATTAAAATGAGAGATAGAAAAACATACAATAGTAGGAGATTTTTACACACCTTTACTATTAGAAATTTGATACAACTGGGAGACGTAGAGAAAACTGCTTTCCTGACTTACTTCCTACCCCACCTCCCAACACACAGATAAAAAGCAGAA